GAATCATCAAATCAGTTCAACATTCTTTCAGTTACAATCTAACAAAGCTTCCAGAATTTCTATAGGAGCTTCCAGTTCATGTATGTGCTCCAATTATCTGCCACACACTTTTGATTTAGATGCAAGAGTACACGAAGAGCTACTGACCTTTTACAATATGAGGAGCCGTTTATCACTTTTTTCTTAATGTTACTACCCACATTACACAGGAGAGCACACTCGAAGCTCAGAAAATAAGTTGTTCAAGGTCTCACAGCAAGTTGTTAGCCAGGCTGGGATTTGAACTCAGATCTTATGACTTGGCGCCCAGTGCTATTTTTATGTGACACTAAGACTGCCTCTGGAAAAGTAAAAACATGGGGCTGACAGTCCTGGTGTTCCTGGGGCCCTTGAGGAGGCAGGCTGTAGGAAGTGTGCAATGCATGGATATTTGGGCTTTCAACAGCTCTAATGATGTGACTGGCTTTATGGCTGTTCCACCCTGTAAGAGGGAAGTTGATGGGTGACTACCTTCAAGCACTGAAAACTTCCTGCTTACTTGGATTATTGTCTACTCTACATTTTGTTATGAATTGAATAAAGAGCTTGTATTTTTAAAAGTTACAGTAACCAAAATAATTTTGTATAAGTGAAGAAAATCTGAGAGAGTAAACATTAAAAATTTTTAAAGAGAGTAATAATAAATTATGTTAAAATTACATAAGAATAGGATGCTGGTTTACCATTTTTTAAAAATTAATTGAATGTAAACTCTAGCATGGTCTGGTCAATTCCACTCTGCCCTAGGATCCTCAGCGATAATCCATAGCTGCCATTGGCAGCACGGCCCATTTTTTCTTATCAGTAGTTTTCTTTCTATCCGCAATCTAAAATTCAGCATATAGAAACAGAATAGCTTTCTACTTTATACAGCATGTGATAATCTAAGTGATTAATATTAGGGAATAGGAATATGAAAATATGCGTATATACATTAGTTACTAATAATCAATTTTGTACTGAATGGTTTATTTATTTAACAAATGGCTTCATTACGTTGTATTGGTAATTCAAATAGAAGTTTGTTGTACCTGGTCAAGTAATAAATTATGCTTATGTTCACTGTTTTGTTTCCCATAACAATGATAGCTAGATTTTAGGCTTCTTTAAGACCGAGATAGATTGTGTTTCATACTTTATTGGTAATAACCACAACATGAGAAACAAAACTGATTATGAAGTAGGTACTTAAATAACCTGTTTGGTTTACTTATTTGTTTATGCATCTTCTTTAGATTAAAAATAGAAGTGAGGACATTAGTAAACCTACCAATTCATTTCCCTGTAGCCAATAATGTCAATGTGCAAAGGATCTATGGTAAACAGGGGTTCTTGACCTAAGCTTCCAAAGAGGTTCTCTTAACTCCTTCATGTTACATTAAATTTTTTTTGTATATTCATATGTTCACTTTCCTGAGAAAATGATGTATAGCTTTCTTCAGCTTTCAGAAAACTCATAAGTGCATAAACTATGAAGAACCATTGGTATCTTATATCCACCTGCACCTCAATTGTCAGCACTGATAAATAGGAAAAGCTGTCTACTTTTGCTTGAAATAAACTATAACATTTTTTCTTTTATTTTTGATTTCCCTAAAGATGTTTGATCTCCAGTCAGAGTTGTTTCCCTAAGTAATAAAGCTATGTATAAAAGCAGCTCATAGACAAGCATTTTGGAATAAAGCTATGTATAAAAGCATGACTTACCAACAGGGTAAGTTGAAACTTCTCTTTGATTCTGTGCTATGCTCTGCACTGAGCTGGCATTTTGTGTCCAGGTGCAGGTCGAGGCATTTTTTATCACTTAAAACTAATGGACTAAGTTATCTGGGACCTAATCATGGGGGAAATTACCTGTATCCTTATGCATGCTCACAACCACTGAAATCTACAATAGCACTTCAGCTAACGGTTCCTGCCTTGTCACTTCAAAGAAATTTAATATTATATATAACTTATATTTATATTTAGTATTATATTATAACAAATATATTTTATATATTTCTATATAAAACAATAACTAATCTATTTACATTTTTAAACAAATATAATTATATAGATTTACTTATGTATAATTATATATAATCTATATATTTATTAGATATAAATATATTTTATATATTTACATTATATATTATTTTTATATGATATAAATATATATAAAATAGAGTAGTTAGTTGTGGTTAAGTCAGTTTTAAGTGTTTCTCCACATACCCTACTCTTTTCCAATGCTGTGTTTTTAAGAAAGTTAATGTTTGACTAGTTTATTGCACTGCTGCAAATTGAACAGAGCAGTTATACTAAGGAACATTCCCTTTTTAGGAAAAAAAAATAGGACCTTTATAATTATGCTATTGATTCTCAATCCAATTGATAATAACATATAAAAACAAATATTTAGCAGTACATTTTATTATATTTAGTGTTTAAGTAACATGAAAGAGCTATGATTTGTATCATTTATAGCATTTAATCTTAATATTTTAATCCTTCAAACTTTTACCTTTAAATGGGTCAGAAATACTATATATCTTACATTGCTATCCTTTCTGTTGTCTTTGAAATTAACATAAATTAAGATGGCTATTACCCTATTTTCTTATTTTCAAATGCTGGCTTCTTACAAATAAATGTACTTATTTTTACAAGGACAAGACTGTTCCTTTTGGTGATCATCAGAGAAGATATGGCTTTGTTACATTCTTCAATCCCCCAAGCAAAAAAAGCACATGGAATGCTGTTGAAATCCTAAAGGTTTAAAATTATTTCAGAAGACTCTGATCCATACCCATTTTAAAGGTAGGCTGTTGAGACCATTTTGATTATTAGAGTTTTTCTGCTCCTCCTGTAAGTTCTAGAGCTGCTTTTCAAGTAAAAAAAATAAATATCTAAGATATCACCATAAAAAAGCACATGAGTTCCATATCACAGTAAATGGCTTCTAAGAAGATTGTAAATTGAGTGACAGAAGAGAAGTCATTTAAAGGGACCCCTACTAGAGAACACATGGCAGCACCCAAATAAATCCATTTTAATTTTCACTTTATTTCAGTTATATTCCAAAGCTGTGATATCATGAGTGGAGACAGACGCAGCTCATAGACAAGCCTAAGTTCAAAGGAATTGAAATTTAGCATGAGATGTAAAATTGAGGACTTTTGCTTTTAAGAGTATCATTGCAGAAATGCCAAGGTTGAAGGATGTGGGCTTTGTGCTACAGCAGAATTAGTAGTCTAGGGCGACCCTGTATGTTTTGGCAAATGGCCATGAAGTAACGCTCTTTACAAGAGAAAAGCTTGTACCTGATAAGCTTTTAGAAAGATGCATTTCTCTTGAAACTCTTTTCCCATCCTTCTAATTTAGAAGGGACATTATAAACTGCTAATGAATGCTGACATTCATGTTTTGAGAGATCAGATTCCCCCAGGACTGGAATAAATCACATTTTAGCCTCTCACACCCAGGGTATCCCATTGGCTTCCCTGCAGAGTGCTCTGCTTGCACCCTCTGGAAAGGTTGCACAACGGATCAGTATTATCTATTGTCTTTTTCTGCACTCAGGCTCTGGTCTCCAGAGGGGAAAACAGCCACACACACACACACACACACACACACACACACACACACACACAAATGGCATAAGTTAAAATCATGCAAGCCTGGTAGGGTAGTAATGACTTTCCCAGGATCCAAGTCTTGGCCTCCAAGATATGTGAAGCTAGAAAACAATGTTATTCATTCAACATTTATAGAAAACACACAAAGTACGTGGTACTGTGCTAATTACTAGAGGGCTGCAAGAGTATGCAAAACATTATCCCTGCTCAGAGGATTCCTCACCGGTGGGCTACTTCAAGTATCACCCAGACATTATGACCGACCCTTCAAGAAATTCTTGAGTGAATAAAATTGCACTCAGTATTTAAAATAAACATGGAAAAGGATACTGCTAGGGCAGTGTGTCCTTAAGGAGAGAGGGCATGTAAGTTTGCCTGAAAATTTTATTTGTAAAGTATGCAATGTGGCTTGGATGAATAAAAGAGTAGGGTACTTAAGGGGCTAAAGTCGTCAGGGTGACCACACTAACCCCTCCCTGAAAGAGCCTGACTTCAAAGAGGCACTGCTCAGATGCCTGCACAGTTAGCTGAATCTGAACAAAGGAGGCCGGCACTTTTACCTGGGATGTGGATAACTTGGAGGAAAAGTGGCCTCCAAGAAGGAAAAAAGGCACATTCCACCTGGAGTGAGAAGTGTCCCCAGCTTCCTGACCGTGCAAACAGACCACCTCCTCCATCTGCCTACTCCCGCTCGCTCCCCTGCCCCGCATTCTATGCCCAGGCCAGGAGGTGGGCCGCGCTCGGCCGGATTCCACCGCCCACTCCGCGCCCGCAGCCCTTGCAGAGGCCAGCTTCAGCCAGTGTTCGGGCACGTGCGCCTCGGTCCTCCTCTCGGCCCTTCAAGGGTCCGGGCGTCTCCAAGATTGCAGTAGTAATCGTGGGGTCCCGATTCCTGTTGCCCCGCACCCAGCCGAACAGTCCGGACAGCGGGAGAGGGAGCGAGCGGTTCAGCCCCTCCCTAAAGGGGGCAGCGCGACAGTGGGCTGCGGGCGCCGCCTCTGCTGCATCCGTGGCTACTCGCTCCGCTCAGCTCAGCGCCACTCAGATCCGGAGTCCGCGCACGACGCGTTGCCTTTCCCTCCTCTGCCGCCCCGCGGCGGGCAGCTCCCCCAGGCGAGACGCGCGTTCGATTCTTCTTCCCCGGGTTGACTGATTTCCGGGTGTGAAGAATTTCGCCTCGGTCCCTAAGAGCATCTTGGCCTCTCTTCCCCTCCCCTCTCGACTCCCCCACCCTGTGGGCGCGCGCGCGCGCGCCCGTGTACACACACACACACACACACACACACGCACACGCGCGCGCGCGCGCGCACACACACACACACACACACACACACACACACACTCTTCCACTTGCAAGCGCGCGTGCGCACGCCCGCGCGCTCAGAGCCGGGGAGTCTCCAGCGCCCCTCAGCAGATCCTACTCTCTCGGGCGCCGCTACTCACACAGGCTTCCAGCCGCCACGGGGCGTCCTCTGTCTGCGGCGGAGGAGGCGGAGAGAACCGCAGCTGCAGCCTGGCCCCGTCTCGCAGCTCAGTGCTCGGGACGGAGTCCGGGCGAAGCGGAGAAGGAGGACGCCGAGACAAGGAAGAGCCGCGCCCGGCGCCCAGCTCCTCGCGGCGGGCTGCCTCAGCCCCGTTATTGCGGCCCCAGGTAAGCAGCTCCGGGGCCCGCAGCATCCCTGGGGCGTCCGGGCTTGGAGCCGGGGTTCCCCAGCCCCGCCTCCGCCACAGCGCCGGGGCAGAGGCTCGGAGGGGAGAGGGCTGGGGCGGGATGTGGGTAGGGGTGGGGAGAGGCGGATGGAGCCCGAGGTGAGGCTGGTAGGATGGGTGTTTGGAAGCGTGGGGGCTTCGGTGCAGCCCTCCGAGCCTCACTTCGCACTACCAGTGTTCCAGCCCTGTCACTTTTCCGAGCCCAGAGGTGTCTGGAGCCCCAGACAGCTGTTCGCTGCTCTCCCCGAGGCCGGCAGCCAGTGTTGGCTACGAGCTCCGCACTCACCGTGCGCCTCCTGTCTCCCCTGCACCTTGGACAGCGCACCCCGCCTCCCCTAGTCCCCTGAACCGCACGCTGGACCGCGTCATGCTCCCGCAATCCTCCAGCTGCCCTCTTCTTTCCAGGTTGTCACCCTCCCTCCCTGTTTCCCTTGTCCTCCCTGCCTTGGCGGACTCTGCTCTGATGCGGGCCGGAAACTTTCCTCCCTGCGTTAGGTACTATTGTTGTTATTTGTGGCCGTCCCCTTAACGCGGGGGAACACAGACACCTTGGACGAGTCTTCCTCGGTGGGAGCCTGTCCTGCCTGGCCAAGCCCGAGGCAAAAGAGGCACTGGGTAGCTGGATTCGGAAGCTGCCAGCGTGCAGAGCCCGCGCCTCTCGGACTCCCCACCTCCCGGGACTCCACACGTGCGCGCCTCCCACAGACTCGCCCCTCCCTGACCACCCCTGTTCTCTCCGGCACGGCCACCGCCACCCCATAGGTTGGACATCGGGGCTCGCGGACCTTGATTGGCTGAAGGTGTAACCCCGCCTCCTTTTCGGGGGTGGTGGTGTTTCTGGAGTGTTGTGGTTGTCATCCCGCGGCGCGCACTTCGGGGAAGTGGGATCTACAGGTATCGAATCCCTGCTGGATAGGATCCCCGCGTCCCATTGTGTATAGCTACTCACCCACACTTTTTCCGCCAAGTACACTACTGTGTTTTCTCCTTTTCTATATCTCAACATTTTACTGCTATAACATTAAAACATAGTCTTGTAACCCTACTTTTATTAATATTATATTTTTTCGGTGGTACCGATTTTGCAGGTCTAGAAGAATGTAGGAAAGATGTGTTTGTGGGGATTGTGGCAAAAAACTGGGCTGCAGATTTGAGTCCAGCAGTCTGGAGAAAGTAACGGGTGCTTAAGGGATCTGAAGAGGGTTGAAAAAGTGAGTAAGAAATTGTTTTTTGGAGGAGAGATGGAGGTGAGCGAGCTTGGGAAGCTGAGGGAGAAGGACGTGGGTTCCTTTACGGGGTGAGATGTGAAAGAAATCCAGAGGGGTGCTCCTGAGAGGTGGAGGTGGGCTCTGTCTTGGAAAGAGATAATTATGAGAGAGTATTGTATTTAGTTAATCACTAACACACTTTGTTTCTGTTTTGCCCATTCGATAGGAGACTTACTAGTAAAGACATCAGTCCATTTAGTGATTTTGCTCATTCCAGTTTCTTGTAATATATAGATTTGCAACTGGAAATGAATTTCAAAAAGTGAATTTCAAAGACTCCTCTAGGGGGATGCACTAAAATAGTTAAGTTAGAGAGCTTTTAGAATATTGTGAAGGAAGGTGGGTGAGCATTGCATAAAATCCAAAGACTGTTGTGGCATTATTTAGGGCCGTTGCAGTAGTATGTAGGCATAAATGATACTGATTTCTCTTCCTTTCAAAGCATGATTGCTTCTAGCATTTTGAAGCTTTAATTCCTTCAGGCTGTTTTGATGTTGTGTCTGTACATCTAAGAATATTGTAATTCCTATCTTTTGAAGCCTGTTGCAAAACAAACAGCAACTAATGCAAGTTAATGTTGACAACTTTATATGGAGTACACTGGGTTATTTTATTTGTAAGCTAGTGAAATATGCAAGAGTAACATAGCATGACTGTTTTTCCCCAAGGACCCATATCAAAACAAAGTGGGAATCACATGAGGCTGTTCTAGGGAGAATAATTCAATTATTTAAAAAATGAATATATTTTAAGATTCTTGGGTGTAAACAACAAATTTTCCCATTTGAATTATTATCTTTTTACACAGTGGTACACATGATATTAAGTAAAGTAGCATATTAAATATATTAGATGGTTCAAAAGTCGATAGTAAAGGCTTTCCATTTATTATTTTTATATAAATAAACAATTGCTTTTATGACTGGAAAACTTTATATCCAAAAAACAGAATTTGCTACATCTGGCCAATTGGAAATCATTGTTACTCTTGAGACTATAGGTCTTACTATGTTTTCATATCTCTAAGTCACGCCTTCATTTTCCCTCAGGAATTCAGATTCTAGAAATTTTATGGGTTTGGAGGTATATAGGAGAAGAATGTATATGTTCATACATATACATATACATTTACATATACACAAAATATATATATCAGAACACAGCCATATATTAACATACATAGCTTTGGGGCACATTCAGTGTATTTTTTTTATATATATTTGTCATCCCTAGAAAATTTTCTCATATCTTCTTGTCCAAAAGGTGGCCCTGTTTTAAACTGTAGAAAGCATTATCAACAGAAGAATTGGCCGACAGATCATGGAAACAGACAATAGTATTTTGTTGCTTGGCAACCACATACTGTGAATGAAAAACAAAGCAGTGACAGCTGCTTCCACATCCTGATACTCATGTTGTAGCTGAAGCATTGCAACCCTCAAATGAGGCAGATCTCCTAAGTTTCATTTGAGTAAGGCGAAGCTGTTTCTTTGGGGGAATGTTTTTAAAAAAGAATATTTAAACATTTTATTATAATAAGACATATTATTATTGTGGGATGAAATGAAGCATCTATTTTCAATTGCCTTCTTAAGCCTAGTATAAACTGAATAATGCAAGATTGGGAGGAGTGTTTAGTCCCTACTTATTCTTCCCTTTGTAGTCAGTAAGCGTATTTTCTGCTGCCATAGGTACTCTTAGGATTTTACAAAAACTTTTGAGTTCTCTATGATACCTAAAAAATGGCTGGATTTTAACTGCTAGGAGGGAATTAGGGATTGATGCCCTGGCCTAACCCTTTCATTTTAGAGGACCCTGAGGCACAGTGAGGTGATGGGAGTCGACTCTAGCAACAAAGCCAAATTCGGGATGTCTTTCCTTAGGTCACACTTGAAAAAATTTTCCCTCATTTCCTCCTCTGACTTATTTTTTTTTGTTCTTTCTCTACATAAAATTTGTAACCGAGATATTTATCCAATAAAGACACTTAGAAAATACAGTAATACTTTGGGGAAAAATTCCTTTGACACTACACTAGATTATAGTTTTAGCTATATTGTATACTGTGTATTCTGCCTTTAATCTCTGAAATTCCTATTATTCCCACCTCTTTCCCCAAAGTCAAGAAGCCCAGTCCTTTGCCTTCATAATTGTTTACAACTTTGGACAGTCTGTAATGATCTGTTATTCTCTATGTCAATTTTAAACATGGATGAGATTGAGGGTTATATTGGTCAGCCTGTAAACCTGCAGGAGTTTAAGTATCACAGCTAATTAATCCCTCGTTCCAGTCTTCTGTCTGCAACATGATAGACATACTGTTGGTGTAGTGATTTGGGCTTTATAATATATGTGAGTCACCGTGTGTCATTGCATAATACTCCTTTCAGTCTTTTATCAAAGCTGTCTTGCTAAAAGTGTTACCTGAAGCCTGTTTGTGGAGGGCAAGTTATCTATCTGTGATAGATGGCAATAGTGCAGAGTGTTTCTTAACTCTAAAATGATAATCAATTGATTATTGGGGGGATGCAAATTTGGACCATATATGCATTTTTGAACATTTCTTCTAAACTAAAAAGTGTATTGCATGGGTGATATGTTTTGAGGTTCTTTATGCTATTTTAAAGAACGTGTATTCCTTTGTTTATCACTTATGGTAAAGGTAGGCATTTAATATGATACCTTAACTAGAAAATTTCAGATTGAGCTGGTTGGAGAAACAATGGAGTGACAGTATTAAGTGCCATTGAAGAGCCATTTTCACCAGAAGAATATGCACTTTAGCAGATTTGTAGGGGGGAATAAATTGATTTACAGCATATTTAACCTAGTTTTAGAAGCCTGCTATTAACTTGTTCTAGCTAGAAGGATTTTCAAGCAGAATAGTAATTTGGCAGATTTCAAGTGAACTTCACTAATTTTTAAAAAAAAACATTTTCCACAGTCTGGTTATAGTTCATCCAGGAGAAGTACTTCTTTTGGGTTAATCTGAATTTTAAGGTTGCTATTATTATTATTTTAAGTTCCTGAACCGTATCTCTTTGTATTGTGTGATGTTAAGCATGCTGTAGTTGACACATTTAGTTTAATCCACTGGAATCTTGAAATGTAATGAATTTCCCTGTGCTATCTTTATGTACAAGATAATGTGTGTATGTGTATATGTAAATATATACACAGTACTTACATTTTTTCCTTTTTGTTGTTTTCATCCTATGATAGAACACTAAAGGACTTGATTTGTGTTCTTTTTAATATAGTAAAGAGAAGCTGTAAACAGGAGATATTTACATTTTCAATTTTCTTAGGTCAATTTCTGCTGTTATAGCCTGTAAACTCTCACCCACACAAATAGGATGATTATGAAGAACAAGGAAACAAATAAATATACATCTAAGCATCATCCCATTTGCTACGCTCTAGGCTAGTCAAGAAAGGATATTTTCTCATTTCTCAACACATATTTTCATACAAAGTCATATACACATTGAGTTTAAAATTCTATAGACTCCTTTTTTACTGTAAGAGTGGACAGAAAAAGTATTTGTTTGGGAGACCCGTGTATGGCCGTTTTTAAAAGTAAATACTACACATTCATATTTTCAGAAATGCAGTAGCATTTGGAAGAATTAAATTGAATTATTCCCTTTTGAGATTTTTCAAATTTATGCTG